CAGATTTGGACACTTTAATGACAGTTATTGCCTTTATATCAATGCTACGTGTAATTGAACATATTATAAAAGTATAAACAAAACGGTAAAAGAACAAAAGATGAGCTGCATGACATGCACATGTTGCATGATATAAACTTCATGACCATGCCAACTCGCTCAAACACAGACTCTTTGCAGCGGGCTGGCAAGAACATTTCTGGACGAAGCCAGGGTGAAAAATTCAGCTGTTGGCGTTCACACATGCAGCCCGACTGGACACTTTCTGCATGTGTGAAAGAGATGTCTGCACTTCAATAATCCTTATCCAAAACGCTTTCATGACTAACAATGAAGAACTAAAGCTAAGATGATTAAAGGTTGTTTTTATTTGCGTGACAGGATTTTTCTCACAACAGAGATTTGTCACCGAAGTTGCAAAGATAATATCTCTACACACTTGACAGGTTTTTTTTTTCTGCTTTCTCTATCACCTTACACATGATAATTTATTCATACAAATATAACAATTAACAGTTTGTATAAATGTGATTTCAGAGAGCTGATTCACCAAACCAAAGTGTGCCGAGACACACTTACATGTAGATGCATTTGCACATTAAAAACAGAAACTGTAACATACACACACACACACACACACACACACACACACACACACACACACACACACACACACACACACACACACACACACACACACACACACACACACACACACATATATAGACAGATCTTAACTGTCTTCACCGAGAAATAACTGGACATCAGCCGGAAAATATGTCTGCCTCTTCATGCATGTCAGTGTTTTTGAGCACTTCTGGTCTGCACATCATCACAGCTGCTGTGTGATGTTTGTGTGTGTGTGTGTTTGTGTGTGCGTGTGTGTGTGTTAGTGTGTGTGCAGGCATGTGTTTGGATATGCCTGGGAGCATGTGACTGGAGCTCTGTTCCTCTTTCTGCAACTGTGCCACAGCTAATCCTCCACAGGAGTTCAGCAGGGTGTTGGGTTAGTGCTTTACACACGGCCAGCAGATACACAGCACCTGTGTTTGGGTCTGCAGGAAGACACAGTGCAGCCTCTGGCCATTTAATGCAATATTTCACCTGAAAATGCTTGCTACTTTAAGCCATGTACTTGCACAAAACAAGTGAGCCTTTCCTGGCCTTAAAGCCAAACAGTAACAATAACCCTCCACTCGTATGTTTTGCTATTGCTGCTGCTCTTGAAATTTGACCTTCACTCTGCAGGATGATTTATCTGCAGCTTGACACCACCGGGCTGAAGGTGGAGAGTCTGACTCTGCTCACCTTAAATCTCAGCTAAAGGTGTATGTGTTACTAAATAGTAGCATCGCGACTATTTTGTAAAAAATGATTGTGTTGATGCGGAAGTTAAATGCAGTTCATACACACACAGAACAACTTTTCACGCACAATTGAGCATTTTGTTTTTCTTGAAAGAGAATAATTAATAGTTATGTTAAGAACGTGGACCCATGTTAGCGGCATAGCTTTATGGGTTGCAGTATTTGTTAAATATTATTCTGGCAGTTGTTGCTCGGAATAAGACCTTCAGTATTGTAACAATACAATTTATCCTACTCGCTTGTTATTACCATACTTAAATATTAGCCAATACTAATACCCTTCCAAAGCCAGCATGCTGAAAAAAATACACATCAACTCAAATTATTTTAATATGTGTAAACTACTTAGCTGATATGGATGTAAATTCAGTATGGCTTAGCCCAGTCCAACTGGTTACAGATACTGATTCTAATCTCTTGGCATTTACAGAAGGGATGGCCAAGAATAGCTTCAGTAGCCTATTTGGTATCCTTTACTAGCCTTAGTTTAATAATTAGCCTCAGCTATATCTATGTTTAGTACTTATAAGCAAGCCAATTTGGGCTGTGAACCTAACATTATGTTTGAGACGGCAGGATGCTAACATAGCCATTCTTAGCATGATAGCATTCAGCTCACAGCAACCCTTAATCTGATTAGCTTCACAGAGCTGCTAGCAAGACTGAAGACTTGCTAACGCTTTGATACTCAATATTTTTTATTAAACATTGTAGAGGATAGAGAGTGATGTAGTGCAGGATATACTCAGGTATACGACATAAGGTATATCGTGTATACCGACTCCTAAATCACCTCTGACTTGAGTCATTCAGTAGGCTATGCTGCATTTTCTTTTTCCTAGAATGGTAAAGGCATGACCACTCTATACTTTCTTTCTAATTGGCTTGTACTCATTCGTTTAGTTGGTTTGGTAACAATATCATTGTAAGCCAATCAGACGTAGAGTAGGGAGGGTCGTACTTTGCCATAGCTGTCCTCAAAAAAATCTACTAACACAAACGGAGCTGGTGGCGCCACTTACAGCTTCTCTCCCTTCATTATGTCAAAATACAAATTGAGGGTAGTCTGGGGGATTTCACCTCTGCACAGGTGTGACAGCGAACTTGGCAGAGGCATAATAGTCACAGCTGCCCCTATGAAAACGGTAATGCGCAGGCTTGTGTGACTTACATTACATGACATGTGTAGCTCAGCATCACATACAAACCCATATGATTTAAACTGAAACAGTGTGAATCTGAGTACTCTAACGCCTTGCTTTGTAACACGTTACCCCCATAAGCTGCTAAGGAACAAGGAGTAGATGACTCAAAATGATTAAATATATAGTGGTCTCACCGTATAGTTTGTGTGCCAACAATCTGCACCACTTCTCTGGCTGATGATTTTCACTTCCTGAATTTAAGCAGCAGAAGTTAAGCATCAATGTGTAAATGCCAAAGGCCCATTTTTAGTTGAACTAAATATGCAAGAGTAGTCTTACATGTAACTGTTTTTAACACAGGACTTTGCTAGACGGGCCTTTTTAAAAGAACATTTGGAATAAATTAGGGTATACAGGAGAGTATACCTATTTCTCCTGGTTCAACTACACGACCAAGTCAACATAGAGCATGTGTTGCCTTATAAAACGTATTTATTATGAATGCATGTGCTGACATTTTTACTCCCCGCTTCCTGATTAAGTCGCTGCAGACAGCAGCGGTGTCAAACAGAGGAGCAACTTTTGACATTGACTGGGAGTGACGAGGCAGCGCAAGCAGATGTCTTCTTCCTTTTTTGCTTTGGGAGAAACAGCATCCTTGACCTTGTCACGGCTAATTTTAGGGCTCGGCTTATCACAGCGCCAATGTTTATATCTCCCATTACACACACACTGTCATTAAAGGAGGAACATGCTTGTAATTATGGGTGCCTTCAGCTGCAGGATGTTCCTGGGGATTGTGTGCATACCTTCATGTAAACTCACTAAGGAGATGATGCAGTGCGTGTAGGAGATTCCCTTATAAACATGATTTTTTTTTTTTGGCTAGATGTTGGTCTACATTAGGACACATTTGATGAAGAAACACACACTGCTTAGCCCCCTACTCAAAGCTCTAGAGCTTCCTTTTCTTCCTCCACTCAAAGACACTGCAGCAGGCTTTAATTTTCTCAGAGCTGCTCCTTGCCACCTGTCTCTGTGCTAAAATGAGACTGTATTTTTTCTTTTCTCAGCTGGTCTTGGATGTCTTGGTCCCTGAGCCAGCGTGTGCCAAACATGATCCTCACAGCTGGTTGAACACAAGAGAGGAGGGCAGCGAGATTTTGGCCCCCGCCTGCCAAATCTCAGTCCTGTTCAACAATGCCTTTTGTTGCGCTCGGCTCATTCATGCACAAATACAAACACAAGGACACACACACGCACACAAACGTTAAATGATTCCCCAAAGCACACATGAGCATCACAGGGTTACTGATGTTTTCATTAACAAAATTAAGAAACAAATGCAACATGCATCCTCTGTGCCTCGGATAAAAGTAAAAGTTTGCATCTTTTTACTGGCTCATCACTAAATTTATCAGAGTGCCTCCACGCCCAAGTCTGCAACATAAACACCTATCATCCCATTAGATTAAGTGGAGAAGATGTCAGCTGCTGGGCCTGGCTCCAAACATTGACCCCGGTGCTGTTTCTTCCTCTCATGTCTTTGTAGCGTGCTCTATATTTCAGTGCTGTGTCTCCTGTAATACTTCATTCACCGTATTTCACCCAAGGTCATCCTTTATGTCTCGCTGCTGCTGTGCGCCTCCTCCGCCCGCTTTACAGTATTTACACACGCTTTATTGTATCCTTACAGCAAGTGAGTGAAGGTATCTGTTAAATAAGGTTAAAACAACACAACACAAGGGGATGTAAAACTCAGCGCGTTAAGATTTACACAACAGTCATAGCCGTGTTAACGGGAAGTCAGTGAAAGTAAAACATAATTTGACAGAATCTGTGCAGTTATTGATTGAGGCAGCATTTCTTTGTTCTCGCTTTGTGTGAAAGAAATCCTTGTAGCACAGCACAGCACCTCACCATAAACACAAAAAGCTGCTTCCAATATTTAACATTCATGCAATTGTTGTGTTGTTTATACTGCATGTGAAACACAGACGAATAAAAAAACACATTGTTATAGATGGAGAATATGCAACAAGATCCCTGTTAATGCTAATGTTAAAAATACTATTGAGATCATTCTTTAATATATAACTTTATGACAGTCATGGTTGCCACTTAATATTCTTTTCTGAATTCGTCAATCAGCTGGTTAATTATTTGATACTTGAATTATTTTGCTATAAGATCACAAAAGTGTTTCCCAGAGCTTTATTTTCCCTGGGCCAAAAATAATGCTCTAAGTGTCAGAGCAACATCAGGACATTTGGATTCAGTTCACAGTGTAATTAAAAATATAAAAACATGCAAATGATAACATGAAATGAGCTGTAAGAAGAGATTATTGGTGTATTTTCTTCAAAAATGTATATTTTTTTAAATCACTGAATCATCCACTGTAATGCTGAGTTTACTTCTCAGTGAATCAATTTTAAGATGATCAAATAGACTGTTAATTTAACTTTTCTCTCTCTCCCCCCTCCAGGCCGAGTTAACGGGCATTAAATGGCGCTGCTACTGTTTCCGCAGCGGAGGGGAGTACGGCCCAGTGATCTCGGCCCCGGCCCAGGACGACCCAGTCCTGCGCAGCTTCATGCGCTGTGTCCAGGCCAACCTGCTGTGCGTGTGGCGACGCAAGATCAAACCCGACGCCAAGGAGCTATGGATCTTCTGGTGGGGCGAAGAGCCCAACCTGTCAGATGTCATTCATCACGAGCTGGAAGGTAAGGCAGGCGAGATGGAGAGAGAGAGAGAGAGAGAGAGAGAGGGGTGAAGAATGAGGCTTGTATTTTAAGTCTGGTTTCAGGCTTGTCCAGACGATACACTTTGAGCAGATTTGTATCAAGTTGCAGATATTCATCGAGCTTTTGGAGATTTGATCACGTTTTATCACACTCGTTTTGTAGGCTACATTTTTTTCATATTTTTGTAGATGTTTTTTAATCATTCTTGCAGATTTGTATCATGATATGGAGGCTTTTGTAATTGTTAGAATTGCAGCTTTTAACATGTTTTTGCAGATTTAATCACATTTGCAGGTTTTTATCATATTTTGCATGTGTTTTGCGGATTGTATGTTTATCTGAAAAATCCTGTGTGTGAACATGAACACATACAGTTTATGGTGTACTCTATAGGCCTGTATGTTCTACTAGAGCTTCAATGTCTAACAAAGATCTGGTGTTCAGTGTTATGCAGATTGGAGCTGTTGATTGTGCTGCAGATTCATGCTGCGTGCTGTTTGTTTAAGACGTGTAGGGCACATTGATCTTCTTTGTTTGGAGAAATCCTTTATTCCAGCCTCATATAGAACATATCTAATGTGTTTGCTTTGCATCTCAAGTGTTTATATGCTGCTTCAGGACTATCACTATGATGAAAAACGCAGCAGCAGGATGAGATTTCTCCTGCCTGTATTTACAGCGTGTGTGTGTGTGTGGTTGTGTGGTTGTGTGGTTGTGTTGGTGAAAATTACACTTAGATATCTCACTGGAGAGAGTGCTTCTGTCAGCACTATTGTCCCTATTTATAGAAACATTTTCATTATCTCACCGGGCACGTGTGTGGAAGTCTAACATATCGACTAAGCCTGCAAGACGAGCAGAGCAGGAAACAGGAGAGGGATTATATTGGGTTTGGTTTAGCAGAACAACAGTCAGGAGGAAAGAAAAAAAAACAGGAATATTGAATGGAGAGGTTGAAGCGATAGTGAGAATTCAGTCTTCTGTTACAGTTAATGCTCACTTGATGTGAAAAGGCCTTTCAGGCACTGCAGCAGATATCTGACAGATGTTGTTACAGCTGCTGGGAGAGCCCTTTACTCAGACTCTGCAGGCATGTGTAAAAGAGAATGATACACTGTACACTTCAATGAAGTTTTGTTTGCGTCAATAACAGATATTTTTTTTAATTCCCTTCACAAAATACCCGAATATGTCTTTAATCATCTAATTCAGTAGTGTTTACATTCTTAATCCCACTCAGCTGTTTATATATTTATAAAGATGATTGTTGAGGATGGTAATGATGATTAAAATCATTGAATAACTATGGTGCACTATAGTGGCAGAAATAAAGCATCCAGAGCAACTTTGTATCACCTGAAGACATATCATATGCTTGTTAGAATGTAAAACACAAGTTCTCAGGAGGCAAGACATGATGTAAATAGGACGCTGCCTAAATACAAGATGGTTGATGACAAATGCTACATGTAATCGGATGTATGTACATCATCAACGAAGGAATTGAGAATATTGTATGCCAACGAGCGGAAACAGCTTCAATGTTTGAGGGGACATTGCAGCGGTCACATGATATGAAGGTCATCAACCCCGCCTGCTCATTAACGGTGAATTGTCCTTGAATAGTACCTGCTGTGTTCACACTTGTGCTCACCCAGAGTACATGTTGAAACTTTGATTTTTTTTTATGGAGCCGGCAGGAAAAGGTCTGTTCACACATGCAGCTCACCCAGTGAATTCCTGGACATTTTCATGAGTTTTGTGCATGTGCAAAAACGGCTTACACAGTGATGTAAAGGACGATTTACGACAGGGTGATGTGGGATTGTTAAATAAATTCAAGGATGTCAATCAAGTATTGTAGGATTCGCAACTATAAGTACATTTTAAAACTCCAACTACGGTACAAATAACTTTTAAAGTATAAAAACTGCAGTGTTCTGATTAATAGCATTTTGTTGATGCTGCTGATAAACAGTAGCACATAACTTTATTGCCTTTAAATGAATTAACATGGCAGCTGCCTAGTTCAGTAGAATCATGCATTTATAATTATTGACATAAACAACATTATTGAAAGCTCAACATCTAAATGAAAGTGTCACCCATCTGGTTTGTGTGATGACTGTTATGTGAGAAAAAGTCAATTATTAATTGAGTTGTAAAGGTATGTGTGTGTGCTGTTTCAACACCAGACACATAAATGGAATGCAGCCATAATTAATGTTATTCTTAACACATGTGCATTTCCCGCCATGACGTGTCAGAACACCTTCCAGGAATCAGGAAAGCGTTGTAAAAGTTAGACCTTAGATGGACCTTTATTCGAACATGTAAATTGGATGGGATGCTTCAGGTCTCGGTGGTTTTGTGTGTGTATGATAGCGATGGACCTTCAACCTGAATAGAGCTCATGCTGTAGACAGCGGTGTTTGTTTGAATCAAAGTGCTTCTGGTCTGAGGGCTTAATGACAAAATAATGTGTCTGAGTTGTGTCCGGTTAGAACAAGCTTTAGTCATAGCTGCCTGCAGACAGACTCAGAGACAGGAGGCACATCACATAAGCCAATGGCATGCTCAATAAAACAGAATGGTATAGCCTTCAAAGTGTGGATGTAAGTTATTGATTATGAAATAAAACAGCATTGTTTGTATTAAATAGGAATACAGATGCTGAGACATCATCTATACCCTGTGTTAATTGATAACATTAAAAAGGTATGATTTCTCCTAGTTAAAATTACTTTTAACAGTTTTTATTTAAACCTTTTTGTACCCCCTGTGGACACCTACCATGTGAACGCAAGACAGGTATCAAAAATAACTATATTGAAATATTAAATTGTCGGTGATAGTCTTGTTTGCTTTCGTCGGCCTTATAGAGGCATCCATATTATTTTCAGCCAGTTGCATCTCAAGCTAATAACTCCTCACAGGAGCTTAAAAGATTACGTTTTTGTTGCTATTTACAGCTTTATGAATACAGATTTACTGAGCACAATTTTTTACACTAAGCACAATAACTTAATATAAAATGTCATCCCCTCTAAATAACCACGAGTGGAGTTTTTTTCTTCAGTGAAAGGTACATTAGACAAGGGAGTGTCAATGTTGACACCTTTTTTTGTAACTATAAATCATTTCATGAACTATAAAGACTGCAGACAACAACCCTGTTGTTTTTTTTAATGCTTTTCACCTCCACTGGAGTTCTCCAGGGTTCACTTCTAGGCCTCCCTGCTTTTCTTTTTCCAGCTCTTGCTTTACATCACACATCTATTTCTTTTTTGCTGCTCTGAATCCATCAGTATTCTCCCTTTACTGTCTGCACTCTGTCACCTGGGAACATGACACATGGGGACTAGGAAAGTTTCATCTCTGTTTTTGCCTCCCTGACATCTCCAGTCGAATGCTTGTCCGCCACCTCAAGCTCAGCATTGACAAGACTGAGCTGCTATTTCTCCTGCAAAAACCTGTGCAAGACCTCCCTATCAATACTGACAACAGTGGACTGACTTAGATAGAAAACTGCTGTGCAAGCCCAAGAACTGAACCTTCTAAATCTCCCAAGTCTGACTATCCACAACCACATTACTGCCCTTGTTTTTGTTCAAAATCATCTGAGACTTTTAGATTATCACTCCCTGTGTCTCATCCATGAAACTGCATGCCTTTATTTTGGCATCTGAGAGTTATGAAGGTTTTTTTACTCCCCACTAAAGGCTTGATACTGAAATGTGTAGTGCCTTGTGGTTTACTTGTGGTTTATGTTTTTTTTTATGTTTGATGATCCAAAAAGCCTTTCAAAATAGCACTTTTTTTAAGTCCATAAATCATGCCTTTCCACATTATTTGAACACATTTGAAAGCTATCTTAACATTCACAGACCCTCTATATCTTATAAAATGACTCTGTTACAAGTGTAACATGTGCGGTGCAGGCACTGAACCCTGCAGCCTTTACAGTGGGTTGGTGACTTATGAATTTCAAATTGTTCCGCTGTCACACTAGCCACAAATTACTCTGAATAAAAGCATCAAGCCGGATCACTAAAATGGAAACGTCAGTTTGGTTTGTCAGCCCTCAAAAATTGCTTGATTCTCAATGAGGCAAGAGTCCTGTAATAGGATTGATTATGGCTGAGGAGTGTGTGGGTGCAGCTTTATCTAGTTAGGAGTTTTTACAGCAGATAAAACTAAGGGCTGATGACTTTGATAACACCATAGGCGGTGCTCCTGTGTGCCACCAGAACAGCATGTGGTCAAGGTGAATGCAGGAGGAAGAGTTAGAGGGCCATTCAATTTAACACTGCATAGCAGGTGTTAGCATATTTATCTATGCTGTGTGATTAGAGTACTTTCATCAGAAGCTGCTTAAATATTTATTTTCTGCCTCCTCGTCAGATCAGTGCCACATTAAAGTTTTTTAAATGGTACGTAGAAATCATGTTTTTTACCTCAAACCATAGAAATAATCTCTCTTTCTCTATATATTTTTATACTGAGAGTCAGCGTCCACCAGCCTGAATTTTCCTTTTTCTTTTTCTTGAAACTGTACCGAAGCTGAGAGGAATACAAAGTAGGGGAAATCCAGCAGAAAAAGATTCTGACTGGAATCAATCCTAGCTGGGGGTGAATGTTGTTCCAGAGATGGAAAGTCTTAACCACACAGTCTCAGAGAAATTGTGTGCATACTTAATCCAAAAATGATCTAAAAACAACAACAACTAAAAGGCAATGGCTTTCAAAGCAATAGCGAGATGTTTAAACATTATATCTTTACAATATTTCTGCAGATCCCACCAATAAATCACCTTGTTATAGAGTTTTTTTTGTCTCTGCCTTGATTTTTTTTAAAGGATTTAATTTCTGCTCCTGGCAGAGTAACAAGTCAAATCGAGAGCATATGAGATAGGACTGAACTAAGAACCTAGTTTGTGCTCATCCTTTATCAGCCCAGTGGTTGGCTGCAGCAACAA